TGTGATTTTTGTTCGAAAAAATTTAGCCTTTGATGGAGAAAATGCAATTTTAAGTACCAACGGGCTAATTCTAATGGTAATTTTGTAATTCAGTTTTCTCAGCTTTGGAAGGAGCTAGAACAAAAATCTTTTTATCATTAAATAGGGAATTGTTTATACTATATACACCACTATTCAAAACAAAAAAATTCGCACCTACGATTTTTTCAGAAAACGCCGCCTAAATGCCCACTGTGAGAAGCAGCTTAATTCGCCGGCATATTCAGACTTCTCTTCTTAATATCGGCTGTGTCACGTGTTATCCTTTGAAGATGATACAACACACTCTCTGATAAGATATGAACTTTCAACTACTAATCTTTTGTGACCTCGCCGCCAACTGTTTTTGATATTGTTTTGTCATCTAAATGAGTATAAAGCAAAGAAGTATATTAATAGTGAAAAATTTTTCCTCTTTCGCACTTCCTTTTTTTCACGCTGTCTTTTTCGACAATGTTACGCTGTCAGTTCTTAAACGACCAATTTCAACACTGCTCTATGCAACAAAATGTTTTTTCTTGTCAACACTGTGATCTATTATATTGTGTAAATCATCTTCAACAGCATTTAGTAGCTGTAACAAGCATTCAATCACAGAATTATTCATCATCCTCCGCTACTATTCAACCCTTAACAGCGACTGTAAGTAAGATGCCGGAAATTCAAACTTCAAGTAAAAATTTTTTCTGATTATTTCATACACGGTTGGATAGAACGCGATAAGCTTAGTAAGAAAAAGTGGTTTTTAATTTTTAAAAAAAATGGGTTCTTGAAGTATTTCAAAGTTTTCGGCCATAAAAGATTTTTTTCAAAAATTGAATACCACTTTTTCTTTCTAAGCTCATCGCGCTCTATCCAACCATGTATGAAATAATCAAAAGAAAAAACAGATTTTTACATGAAGTTTGAATTTCCGGCACAGTAGTATAAATACACATTTTTAAGTTTCGTCGCTGAAAATATGCTATTTTCAAGCAATCATACTAGTTCGTGCAGCTTTTGTATAACTCGTTTTCTTAAGTTCGCTGGGATCTAGAAATAATAATTTAGCGATGTATGAACATAGACCGAGTGACAATGAGTAGGAAAAAAACTGCTAAAGGGGTATCCTCATAGGGATAACACTTATCAAAAAATATAACGGAAACAAGAGAAATGTCCCAAATCGGAATCTTAAAAAAGGCAAAATACAATTTCTACTCTACAGCTAAATGAAATTTTGATAAGAATATAAAAAGATCGGCTTTGCAAAATTTTCCAAAAAAATCATCTCAGATCCTTTTTTGGGACATATAAAAAAACACATATTGTGTTTTTGAAGACCAATATTTTTGCCTTTTCCTTGATGTGTTACGGAAAAATTAAACTGTTCTTATTTCATCCACATCATCATCAGACAACTGCAAGGGCGTCATAGCGTGTGCAATCGATCACTAGCTTTCTCCACTTTTCGCGATTTTGCGCAGCCTTCTCTATCTCAGCTTCTGTCATCAAAGGTGTGCTGCATATCAGTTGGGCGATACTTTTAACGAAGCTCAGTTTTGGTCGCCCTAGCTTTGGTTTTCCTAGCTGTTGACTTGGTTGGTACAGAGCGTATTTTCGAATTGGCTCTTCTTTGTCGCGTCTGAGCATGTGACCAACCCATGTTAACTGTCTTTTGGCCATTTTGATGGATAATGGGAGCTGATTGACGCGGTTGTACAGCATCTTGCTTGACACATGCTCGATTCGTTTTATGCGTAACATGATTCTATAGCAGTTAGTGGCAAAGCTGTCGATTTCTTTTCTTTGCTGCTGTGTGAGAACCCGTGTTTCACTTCCGTACAGTAGAATCGCGATGCAAGAGGCCTCGAAGAAGCGGATTTTTAGAGAGAGCGGGGTTTTCTTTGTTCTCCAGATGGTTTCCATCTTCCAAAATGCTACCCATGCGAGTCATTTGCGGTGCTTCATGTCTTTTTCAGACGATGCCATAACCAGTTCGATTGGTTCAGCGTTTAGCGTGAGTGTACCTTGTGCTGCATTTGAGGTATTGAGTTCCATTCGATTTGTTTTACCGACATTTATTTCGAGACCTACTTTGAGTGCGCTGTTGTTTGTTCTGTCAAGCTGTTGTTGGGCTCGAATGAGACTTCCTTCTAGTAGGGCGATGTTATCGGCGTAGGCGAGGTCGTTGAGGCGCTGTTCTGGCATTCTGCTAGACTGTCGTAGATGGGTGACAAATCCAAACTCTCCTTCTGCGTCTCGCATTACATAATCCATGACAATTATAAATAGAGATGGTGCTAGAACGTCTCCTTGCAAAACGCCAGTTGCGACCTTGAATTCTTTGGAAAATTTACTGTCTACGAAGACCTTACTTGTTGAGTCGTCATAGAGGACACGAATGGCTTGTTCGATCTCTTCTGGGATGCCATAACTTCGAAGAATGGCAAACATTGTCTTACGGCAGCTGAAATCGAACGCCTTCTTGAAGTCTATGAATGTTATGAAGAATGGTATCTGTTTCGCTATAGCACCTTCCATTATTCGTCGAAGAATGTGGATCTGCTGGATGCAGCTGCGTTCTTTGCGAAAGCCTGCTTGATTTCGTCGTAGAATTTTGTCGACTGTAGGCATGAGACGATTTAGGAGCATCTTGTTGTAGGTCTTTGCTGCTATTGACATTAGAGATATTCCTCTGTAGTTGCTCATCATCTGAAGATTACCCTTCTTCGGCACAGGTACAATGAGGTTTGTAGTCCACTGGCTTGGCGCTTTGTGTTGTTCGTATACGCTTGAGCAAATTATGTGAATTTGAGTTCGGATGAAGTTGCCTCCACGTTTGAGTACTTCTGCTGTAACCGAACTGTCCTCTCCTGGTGCCTTCTTGTCTTTGAGTGAGTCGATGGCCTCTTTGACCTCCTGTTGACTGAAATTTGAGGTTTTGATGTTGAGATCCTTTTTTGCTGGTTGCGGAAGAGATGTTGGGTTTGAGAGAGTGCCGTTGAGAAGTGTTTCGAAGTACCCTGCCCATTCGTCTAGTAGCTCGGACTCTGAATTGGCCATATTGCCATCTCTTTTTTTGATTTTGGTGATCTTCTTCTCATTCTTTCCGCTGAGATTGTTAACGATCGCCCAGGTGCGACCCATCTGATTTCTATTTGCTGCGAGTTCAAGCTCTTTTGGTTGACTCTCAAGTTGTTTCGATTCGTCTTGCTCGTATGACTCGGTGACTTGCTTGACCAGATCTCGCCATTTTGATCGTGTGGCTGGTGTTTTCTGTTGTCGAAAAACCTTTCTGGCCCTGTCTCGTTCATCTTGGAGACTTAGAGTTTTGGTTGAAACCCAGTTTGGAATTTTCTTTTTCCTTTTTGCCCCCAATACGGTTTCACTTGTCTTCTCTACCGCGGTCACGAATGCGCCGTATCGTTTTTGAATTCGCAGTGATTCGTCGTCGTCTCTTTCAGGTTGGAAAAGGGCTGAAAAGCGGTTTTCAAGGTCAATGTTGAACTTGTCTTGATTGATCGGATCCTTTAGCAGCTCCCAGTTGTATTTGATTCTCTTATCCTTTTGATGAATCTGTGTTCGAAGACTCAGTTTAAAGGCGGCGCAGATAATCCGACGGTCTGAATCTACGTCTATGGAATCATAGGCTCGGCAGTTCTTGAGCGAGTTTAGCCACTTTCCTCTTACTAGAATGTGATCTATCTGAGCATAGGAACCACTTGAGTGCTCCCAGGTCCAGAGTCTTCCCTTGCGGTGTGGAAAGCGTGAGAAGGCTGACCTGAGGTTAAAATTCTCGCAAATGTCAATCATTCTTTGTCCGTTGTTGTTTGTCTCGTCGTGGTAGGTATACCTTCCAACGATCCGTGGACTTGATTGATGTGAGTCGAATCCGATCCGTGCGTTAAAGTCTCCGAGAACCATTACCACGTTGTACTGCGGAATGTCTGTGAGCGTGTCTCGGAGATTCGTGTCAAATGCGTCTTTGTCGGCGTCGTCAGCTCCATCTGTGGGTGCGTATACAGCAACCGTGGTTGTTCGTGGGTTGCCTTCGAAATGAGCGACAATGATACGTGGCGAGATCTTTTCCACTTGACGAAGTGAGTTGGCCATCTTTTGGTCGAATAGAAAGCCAACACCCCCATGTCCCTCTTTGGTAGCCGATGCAAATGCGCATAGTCGAGTATTGTCTTTGGTCCATTCAAATCGTATCTCTCGATCATTGAATATCTGGCGATGTTCTTGAATTGCCAGTATCTGGACGTCGAATTTGGTGCATCCTGTGCTTAGCTGATCTAATTTACCCGAACTGTTGAGCGTGCGTACCTTATACGATGCAATGTTGATGTTAAGGTGGCTCTTCATTGATTGTGCCTTCGAACCTTCAGCTCTGTCAGGTGCCCAGGCTCTTGCAGTTTCCCTTGACTCCGTCATATGCACAGATCGTGTCTGTTGCTGTAGATTTTTCGGGCGGCGGGATGTCACAAATGTGGACGACCTCCCGAGGGACCGTCCGCGTGGTTGCTTGTGATTGTCGAGAATCGGTTTTCTTTTACCCGGCCGGGATGATTAGGCCTCGACCAGAAGCTAGTTTTAACGTCGCCAGCTCTTATCATTAAGGTTTGTCTGCGAGAAATCAACTCATCATCTCCATTAAACACAACCTTTTATGTTCGTCCTGCAACTCAAACAATGCCTTCACCTTTTAATTATCCATTACTTTCACCGAGTCCATCGTCACTTCATTTCCAATCAAGCCCATTGGCCAACACAGTCCAACTAGTTTCGTCGAGCACCGCAGTGTCAAAAATCAAGCGTATTTCCAAACATAATTTCCAATTCAATAACATTCCAGACATTTCACATTTCAATATTATATATCAGCAAATTCATCATAAATATAAAAATAATTTAAAGTATTTGTGTGTAAGTTCCACTTCTTCTTCACCGTCATCATGTGTTTCTATTCATTTACAGTTCAAAATCCGGCCAAAATATACTCGATTATTTTTGCAAGAAATCATTCCAGAAGCAACCAGACACGACTACGAACAACAATTGGACGACGATGGTTTCAACAAACAAATAAAACATAACAATGACCAGTACACCGAGTCAAGTCCGTATAAATCAAGAAAAACGAAAACAAAATTCACCGAATCTACTAACAAAAATTATTTCCAAAAACCAAACGACGATGCTGCAAGAGCTTTAGAACAACAAACCATCGCTGAAGGTAATGTAATTTTGAATTCTAGCAGCTTCCGCTCTAGTATTTCTCTTTACATCACTTATAAGGTTTTGAGTGTATATCAAATTCCCGTAGACGGTGTTGCTAAATATTTCTGATTTGTTTAGCAATAGATACTATTCAAATTACGATGCCATACGATTATCAAGTACATTCAACGTCCATGCGTGATACCTTAAATCAACACATTGGTCAACAACATCGACTTCAAAAATTATTGCAATATCAGCCGCCATTCCCACTAACATCTTTCGCAATTCCACCAAATCACGCCGACAAAATTAATGAGTGGCTAGCCAAGGATTTTCGTGAACGCATTCATGATCGATTACCAACAAGAACACGAAGCAAATGCTTATTCATCATTGGACATACACAATCAGGTAAAAGAATATACTTTTACTATCTAAGGAAATCGGTATCATTCAGTAAGAAAATATTCTGGTATTACGAACAAAAAAGATGCCTGCACTTGTTATCATGATTTCCCGTTATGCTTATAGAAAAAACATCGTTTGCACGAACCCTTGGCACACACATGTTCCATCGTGGATGTTTCAGTTTATCCGAATGGGCAGATGAAGTCGATTATATGATATTAAATGATATTCCATATCGAGACATTAGACAACAAGTAAAACAATTGTTAACAGCACCCGGTGAGATTCATTTAACCGACAAATATCATAAAAAAGAAAAGAAAAACAATAACAAACCATGTATTTATTTGCTGAACTATGAAGATATTGGAAGCTTATTAAGTGAGACGTATTGGTTCGATAATGGTGTGATTATAAGTTACAATTGGGTATGAACGAAAAATTATTTTAATAATTATTATTTTTTTCCTCTGTTGTGTCATTTTCGAAAAGTCGATATGAATACGAATTCAGATGAGATTTCTTAATATTCTAATTTTTGCTTCGTACGATTTTATTTATTCTAAACGTGTCGATTCATAGTTCAATCTTCCTCATTGGATACAAACAGTAATTAAGTTAATTAAACTTACATAACCAAAACAAGTTTAACAGAAAACTTTAAACATAGGGACGTATTTTTCCCTTTTGGTGTTTAAATTTATAATATATACAGTCGATAATAATAAAAAAAAAACTATAGCCTGACAAGCATCTTTAACATACTACACTTATATCATACTTATTCTTTTCACTTTTTCCCTGCCTAGACAAGTCTTACTTAGTATGAGATTATATACATAGAGATTATATAAGAGTATAAATTATAAATTTAAACACAAAAAGGGAAAAAGTATCCCTAGGTTAAAAGTTTTCTGTTCAAATTGTTTTGTTTATGTACCTGTAATTAATTTAATTAACGTTTGCATCCACTAAGGAAGATTGAACTATCAATCGAAACGTTTGGAATAAATAAAGTTAGTACCAAGAAAAGTACTTATTTCGAATATTAAAAAATCTCTTGTGTCGTTTTTTCAAATAAATTTAAAATACAATTTCATGGATACTAAATTTATTACACTGGAAGTTTTATTACACTGTCACATATCTATTGTATAACACTACTTAAAATATTTCAAGATCACTTCTGTTTTCTGTTGCATTTTCAGTTGCAAATTCGAATGGTCTGTCATATGTAGGAGCCTTTGTGAGTTGCGTCTATCCTTCATTACCATCATTCGTAGTTATTTTGTTTTCTTTTTTATTCCGATGTTCTCCATAATGTCGCCGTTTTTTTCGCTGATACACCAATGAATTAGTAACGGCACGTCTCAGTTTCACGTCATCAACAGCCACACCACCAAATTTTGCTTTCGCGTAACCTGTTCTCAGAAAAAACGGTTCATGGAGGATGTCTTCGAAGTGGTTGAGGGAGAAAACGTTAGGGAACAGCCTAATACAGAACGGATGCGAGTCACCTCCGGTCAGTGTAATAAAGTTCTTTGTTCAGATGAAATATATTAGTTCTCTACCGCTTCACAGCCTTTTTTTCACAGCAGTTTTTGTTCACTTCGCTACCATACCTGGAATATCTGTTGAAACGAAATGGCCGTGACGAAAATTTTTTTATGATCAAAATTGGCGGAGGGAAACTACATGAATCTTTTGAGTATGCATTTTTTTTAAGAGTTGTATATTATTTGATGCGCAGATTTCAAATATGTCATTGATTTTGTTTTAAAAAAACACATTGCTAGCAGACGCAAATAGATTTTACACCTAATACCAGAGTTTGAGGAAAACCCATATCGAGGCCTATGAACAATGACGCTACCCGGGACTAATGGTCGAGTCAGAATTACTAATATCGTTTCATAATAAAATTCAGCTGAATTCTCTACAATGGTATATAGAAGGTGATCGTGAGACTCCGTCTTAAATGAACAAAAATCGAAATATCCCAAAACTTTCAAAAATTTAGCTCGGAAAACTGTATTTCGTTAGTATAAGCTTGAATGTATGTGTTATGCCCACATCTAATAGGCCAAAATGTAGCTCTTGGAATTCTGCATCGAATGGCTATACTGCGAATCTTCTGTCGTTATTTCTATGTTTTCCAAAATGCTTTTTGCAAAAGTCCTGTGACTGTTTTCTCAGCTTTTTCAACGTGCATTTTGAGGCTGTTTGTAAAATGAACAGTACTCACTCAAAAATGAATGAATCAGGCTCATTCTTAAACACGTCCAAACTACCATTTTGTTCATTTTTGCCTGCCAATTATTAACTGAACATTTTTACCACATCGAACGGATGGGAATGAAATGAATCTTGTCCCAAATGATCGAAGATATCTAAATGTGCTAAAAAACGACCGGAGATCTTTTTTCTGTCACTTTGGACATGGATTTCAAAATTCAAAGATCCATTTTATCGATTTTTCATAATTCCTATATAGTATTTTGTAGTGAATTAAATGATGAATCTTTTGCGAAAAACAGCGGAATTTTATTATAAAACGATTTCCGTCATTCTGTTTCAGTAATTTGTTTCGGTAATTCTGTCTCACCATTTAATTCATGGTTGTAGTCTACGTAGAGGGATATTTGTGTGAAGTTTGAGCGATTCGAAGCTTTGCTAAATTTTGCACATTCATTATTCCGAAGACACGTCTGTCGAACCTACTGTAACTAGAAAATGCACTTTCAATTTTTGAATAGACGTTCTGATCATTACTTAGTGTGATCCTGAATCAGAACTGCACTGGTTACAGAAATGTGAAGAAACGTTGAATTTTTCTCGCAACGCAAGAAAAGTACTTTTGATGCGTAGAAGATGTATAAAAAGAAAACGTTAAAAATATTTGCCTAGTTTTCGTAAAAAGATTGTTTTCTATTCGCCCCTATATAGGCAGCTTTAGGTAAAGTTTAAGTAAAATATTCTGTGGGTTTTATAATGATCATAGTCGACGCGGACCAATATATATACTCAGCTGAGACAGAATGTAAAACCTGTGTTCTCGAACAGAGCTGGATAAGTCAGAAGTTTTCAAAGTCACAAATCTTGATCGGAATATAATATAAAAACGGTTAAGAAAGGAACACGAAAGACAAATGGTTTTTATTCAAAAACACATATAAATCTCAACTTTTTGCATACACTGTGCATTGAAACATTACGTTTACATTAATCGCGAGGATTCGACGCAGCTACAAAGGACATCAACGACTGATATATAAAATATTCAAGAAAATGAAAAGCACCTGAAAAATGTGAGAGTTTCGAAAAAACACATAGAAATCTTGACCGATGCGCCCATGTATTTGAATTTTCTGTTACAGTACTGTATGTCAAAATCCTGCTAGAATATCGTCTTTATGCAGTCGGTAGTACCGATTTTAATTATGTTCACACACTCGTAGCTCTAGCACTAATAATATTCATTCTGTGCTCTTCTGTGTTTTGCTTAAAAAATAGATCAGAACAAAGTTTTTATGTTTTAGTAAATTGGATTGTCACGGATCCTTAAAACTCCTACGTTTTTCTGCAATTTACTTACGTTGAAACCATATATTTTTATTATTAAATACTTCACACAAATCCAATGAAAAATAAATTACTGCAAGAAAAGAAAACGCAAGTCTTGTTCTTGTTTTAAATAAAAATGTTTTATACAGAAATAAAAGTTAATGATTTTTGTGTGTATACAACCGGTGTTATCTTTGTAAGAGAAGGAAAAAAAACGGATAATTATACGATAAATCAACAGTTTTGAGAGAAATCTCATTCAATGTTATGGTTTTTTTTACGCGGTTGTACGTATGCAGCTATTCCCTCTATTACCAGAAATTCAATGAAAGGAAATAGTACATTTCCCACATATACTGCTTTACCAGATCCAGTCAATTTAAATGTTACTATGCCTTGTGGTTCTAATTCAAGAACGAACAAATAATCCGTTGTGGGAAAGGAAGCAATAGTTGTGTCTTGTGCAGATGAATGACCAGGTATTGAATAATATCGAACAATAGAAACATGGTTATTTTCTTTATTAACACTTAATTCGACGATTGAATGTGTAATAAACCCGATTACGTAATAATGGTCAGTCCTTGGAGAATGTGCCGCCCAACAAATACCATCGCTCAAACTCGAATTAACAACAGTAATTACTTGATTTACTTTTATGATACCAGTCGAAGAAGAATAACACCAACTATAAATAGACTATTGTGCCCGACAAGTAACATTGCAAATGGGAATAGTGTATCTTGCGTTGTTGTCTCAAGTGGGTTCAAAGCGAGAGCACCGTGCCTATCAATAGGATAGGTCAATAAAAATCCAATATTTCCGGCAATATCTCCCTTTGCAAGGATAAGTATAGCTAAATTGTCAGCGGAGAATCCTATTTGACTCAAACTATTGAAAATAATTGGAGGATCTGTCTGTGTTACAAACGACGTTAGACTTCGATCGAAAGATAGAATAGCAATTAGTTTATTAGACTTATACGAAAAACAGCGAAACCCATTTATCACACCTCCGTTCAAAACACATGCATACATGTCATTAACAATAACAGACATAGGAAAATCACCGTTTGTTGATTCAACTGAAACAAGTTGAATTTCTGTGCCATCCGATTCCTCGATGCTAAATAGTGAAAGTGTTCCAGAACCGGGGTTTACAACAAACAAATGCCTTCCAAAAACTCGAATTGATCCTTGAGACTGTAGTGAATCAGGTGTTGTTACATTGGTGCCTCTCCCATTTGTATTCACTTGTTTGACGAATTCTAACAGGCCATTTGAATACACTCGACTGACAACAATCTGATTCATAACTGGGGAATTCGACATTGTGTAAACTGCACCAACTTGATATATACAAGATTCTTGTCTATTAGAGATAACAACAACTAATAAATCAAAGAAAAACAGCACGATGGTACTGCTTCCAGCCATAAGATATTCCTAAAGAAACAAATATTCATCCTTTTTTATCGAATGCTTCTTAACAGGTATAGTTTGATTAGAGTTTGTTTACTTAACCATCATATGTATTTGTTTTGAATACTAATATCGAAAGAAATATGGGACAACAAGGGAAGAAACAATAGTAGAAAGCGCAAGTTTCATAGAACGAAAACCTTATAGTGTAAAGGTGACACTCTTGTATATGTTAAGCCAACATGCCCCACACTATGCACTCCTATCAGGCGACCTTGCTGTCTGGTAACCTTGGAAGTGAATTGAGCATAGGTTTCCGACTATTCTGAATCCCGTGGCATTGTTTGTTTTTAGAAAAAACTTCAAAAGCCTAGTGAAAATCTATACTATGTGAAATAATGCATTTTCACTAGTTTTACCGAAAAATAAAAAATTCATAATGCACTCAAAATTGATCGAGACTACTTTAAAATATCAAGATATACTCTGTTTTATCTGCCTATACCTTGGTATTCATTTCATTTCCGAGCATTAATGATGTATATTTTTTCCTTTCAAGATTATAATGTCAAATAGCTCGGTGTGATAAGACAATATTTATTACTATTAGTTAGTATAACAAAATGATCTGTTTCCATCATTTCCTTAAGGACTATCATTTCACTGAATAACTTCAAACGTTTCAAACATCATCTCAAACAAGGGCTACATTGACTTTTGTAGTTTATACTTTCCAAAGTATGTGTAGTTTCTCACTCGCATACGTTTGTGAGAAACGGTTTTTTCGTTTTTGATAATCCGTTTGCTCATCCATTCCTGTATCTATTTTGGTAAACGGCAGTTCCTTTTCGTTTTTACCTTTCTTTCACTGACTCAATGAAAAGCCTATTTTGGTTTTGTTTCCCTCCGTTTTGTGATGGTGTGCGTATGATTAACCCTTTCGAAGCGAGCTGGGCTCTTCGTGCCGAAAGGGAGTAACACCAATAGGTCTTATCTATTAGTAACCAACAATCTCGCAAGTGATATGTTTTCGTCAGAATGATATCTGTTAGGGGGAAAAGGTAACAGAGTAAAAAAGCCTTTTTATACTCGAAGAAAGTCAGTCTCACTAACAGAAATTTATATGAACAGTACAATTGTTGCCTTGTTCTTCATATCTTAATTTAGTTACAGCCATGTGAAAACAAATCGGATGATAGAAAAAATTTATATACAAGAAAAAGACAACTTAAAAAGTTCTACACTCTTCCTTGCACACGGATTCTAGAAGTAATTTGACTATAGCTCAGCAGAAACTTGATCGGTAGTCAAAGCAAAACAACTCGGCATGCTCTACGATCTGGTCAGAGCCAAAATTTGATTTGACGAGAAAAGTGTTTTACTGGCAAACTTGTTTTCTAAATAGCTCGAGCCTCCAGAGGTCCCTTAACCGCTTCCACTATGATATTCGAATCAGTGTCTTTGATTACACATGTCTATGTATGTTTCGGTCGAAAAGCGAGTGGGCACTTGGGGATGTCCCTCGTAAGTCATTTTCGGGACATAAGCGGTAGTGTTGATTTTGTTTGCAGACATGCGGTATCTGTTATCTTGACACCTAAAACGACTTTTCTTGTGTCCGACTTTAATAGACAATTTTCCTGTTACCCACTCGAGAGTACTGTGGACTAAGTAGCTCATAATTTCAACAATTTCTTCCATTAAACTTTCGATCTTCTTCAATTTCGAAAACATCGAAAGCAGTTTCACAAAAAACATACACAAACAACGTGAGTGTTTTACAAGAAAAATTCAGAGTGCCCAGCAAATTCTCAAAGGTCCAACAATCCACAAAATCTTAGCGTTGAAATCCATTTTGTTTCAAATAGGACGATTTTAGATGATACTTTGTTTCGGTTTCTATCTATCATTTCAGTTTTCGAAGCAAAGTCAGATGCTGAAATTACACATTTCATCAAAAGAAGTGACGTACTTACTAGTTACTAAAACTGAATTCTAAATGTTGCTAATTATCGCCGTTCGAAGCAAGAATGATAATAATCTGTGTAAATTCTGCAAATAAGGGGAGAAATGAAACAATATACAAATATTTCTTTGGTACACGAAGAAAAATAAGGTGCAAAATTACAAGTAACGTTCAGATTCACTCGACTCGCGAATATGCCCTTGTATGAAAATCATTTTCATGTTAGAGCGAAAGCTCTACGTAAGAAGTTAGCGAGGAGAAGGTAACAGCGAAGGCCTTCGCTAGTGATTGAAATGCTTCAGACATCATTCAAGTGAAGTAAACTATGATCGACCATAGACGACTACTATAATTTTGCTATGTTGTTAATTGTTTTAAAAGCTAATAACTATACATATGTTACTAATTCATATTCTATCCTTAAGAAATCATTACCAATCTCCATGTGTGTAACTTTGAAAAAGAAATGTTTCCTTTCTTAATGCATTTTAAATGAAACAGGCAAGTTTCATGTTAACACATATAATAGTTTGACAGATTGAGTTCAATCATTTTTAAGTTAACTGGATTTTGTATAGGAAAATCATTTCTCTTGTTTTTGGTCATATATTTTCTATGCGCAGCCGTTTTTCGGATCATTCGGCCAATATGTGACCAAAAACAAGAGAAATGATTTTCCTATACAAAATCCAGTTAACTTAAAAATGATTGAACTCAATCTGTCAAA